CCCCCCCCCCCCCCCAGCCCAATAAAGTGCTATACTACCCAAAGATGTGAGAAGCTTTTGGCTGCCAATTCCACTATACATGGAGATAAAGCTTAGAGTGGAAGCTTCTGATCTTGCAAGTCCTGTGCACATACTTAACTTCACGAATTGTCTGTTCTCGCAGCAAGCAGAGTTAAGCATAGACATTAGCCTGTGCAAGATCAGTGGCTAAAATACAACAAGGCTGTTTGGAAATACTCACTGGGGACAGGGAGCATGCATATAAGCAAAATGATCATAGTAATGAGGTCAGGTGTTAACACTATATATTTTCTTTTCACTATTAAAATAGTAATTTAGGGCTTAATCCTACAAATGCTTAAACATACATACCTCTGATTTGTTTAACTGAAGTCATTGTAGGACAGTTTGCATAGATAAAACTACTTGCATGCAGCATGCATGTGTTTTGGGATATCAAGCCTGTATTTTGGCATATGAGTGTGGTTCTAGTTTGGGCCTTGCTAGTGACTCTGGGTACACCGCTTAGATTTTTTCTGCCATACTTCCCTCTCCTGTAAAATGGGCGTAAGGATAGTAGAAGAATGTTGGAACTTAATGCATGAATGTTTCCATAGCATTTTAAATTTCTTGGGATTGGAAAGTAGTGCAGGCATGTGGGGAGCATTACTGGATGCTTTATTTTTGTAGCTCTGTACTTTAGTGTATAGTTCATAACTACCTATTGAGTAAAATTTCTTTAATGTACCATCAGAAGGAAAAACTATATAGTAAACATTAAAAAGACGTTAAGCTGTCCACTATTGCCCAGGAAACTGGTTTGATATTTAAACAAGGACAAACTTTAAATGAGGTAATTCATGTTATGTCTGTTGACACAGTCAGTTGAACAAGGAAAATCAGTAACTGTTTGTGGGAGGAGTGGCTCTTTTCACAGAGAGAAGGTTTTCCTGTTGTTAATTAACCTAGACACAGAGAACAATAGCTAACAGGTTAATATATGTGCAGAGTTAAAAGCTAAGCTTTTCAGTTCGGGCTAGCAGTCCTTAGATGTCTTGGGGCTTTTTGTGCAAGGAGAGAGGAGTTGGTATAGAACAGTTAAAAGGGAAAGGCCTTTGCTGGGTGTGTCAGAACTTGCCTGTCAGTGTCTCTTTTGTCCTGTAGTTAAGGAAACTTCTTGAAGGTATTTATTAATCTAGCTGAATGACTCTAATGGCACATAGTCGGAAATGAATGAAGGTAGAAATTAAGATGTCATTATATCCCCAGGTCTGCAACTGGTTTATCAATGCACGCCGCAGGCTTTTACCTGACATGCTAAGAAAGGATGGCAAGGACCCAAACCAGTTCACTATATCACGAAGAGGGACCAAGATTTCTGAAAGTCCAGTAGAGTCTTCCATAGGCACAAAAAACTACATTCCACTGTTGGAGGAGAGCTCATTCCTTTCCGGTACCACAGGACCAAACAAGAATCTGTCTTCTAAATCTTCTTCCCCAGGATCTATCTTGGTTCGACCTTCAGTGATTTGCCATACAACTGTAACTTCATTGAAAGATACCCCTTTCCATTTCTGCCAGCCAGCTGGCATAGGCCAGACCACAGACTTGCAGTATGCACTAGCTAGTGGCTTCACAGAAAACTCCCTCGCATACAATGAGGATCCCACTAAACTGGGACCTGGTGTGAATGCACAAAGTGGGCTTTTTAACACTCCTCCTCCTACTCCGCCAGATCTCAACCAGGATTTTAGTGGATTTCAGCTTCTGGTGGATGTTGCACTCAAAAGGGCTGCAGAGATGGAGTTGCAGGCAAAACTTATGGCTTAAATCCAGTTGTTTCAGGCAGGGATCTAACGTGTGTGGTGGTTGTTGCCCACATAATATCAACAGACTAAATGCATTATTATTTTTTTATTCATCTTATTTGCACAAAGGATTGCTGAAATGAAGCTTCCTGTCACTGAGATGGTCTTCAGTGGAATATGGTCATTCCAAGAATTATAAACGTAAAGCTACTGTAGAAAGAAATGGTTGTGTTTTTTGTTTTGTTTTTTTTTAATGTTTCTTAGTAGGTTTTTCATAATGTGAGATGGTTCCCAAGATCATGTGATTTGTTTTTGTTTCTTTCAGACTGTGCAATATCTAGTAATGATATAGAGTCTTCTTATCATTCCCATGTGGAACAGAATATACCAACACGCTGTCTAAAATTTACATTTTTTTTAAACAATATGAACTTGGATGATTATGCTTTTTTTCCATGATGTAATAAAATATTTTCTTTAAAAATAGCTGTATACAGAGTGTTTTGTTGAACAGGAAATTCTGAGGATACAGAGTGCCTTCCCCCCAAAAAGTGAAATAAGACAACAGCTGGGGCATTCAAATTGTATCTCCTTTCTGTTTAGTGTGCAAAACAACACTAGCAAACTATAAGTTATTGTAAATAAGGTGCTGAAGGACGTTGCCTTATTTACAATAGGGCCAGAACTACCTGACAGTGTCCAGCTAGGCTGGAACTTTTAAAGAGATTCCGTGTTGGAAGGTAGCCTTAAAGAATCAAATTACACGCTTCCTGCTTCTCTTCTTACATTGGAACTGTCAAGGCTTGGCTTCCTGTTCTTAGCTGGTGGACTGGGGTGAGTTTAATGTCATAATAAAACACTCCTCCCACAAACAGCAACTGAGCTGTAGTTTCTCTAGGTCTTGGATGAGGAGTACATTTTTTTGGAAACGCTTTGCTTCCTTTAGGACATAAGCTCATAAAAGCCAGATTTTCAAAGGTCTTTAAGTACCTTCCTATGTGGGTAGGAGCTTTTGTAAATCTCAGTAGGCACCTCAGTTGCAATATGTTTAGGTTGTTTAAATATCTGGATCTACAGTCCCAAAGGATTTCTGAACATGAGACTTACGCATCAAATTGACTTGAGTGTTTTCTATTATTTTACTAATTTAGGGGACCTTCAGTACAGACCGAATATTTGAATGTCACTCCAAAGGCAACTAAAACAAAGTACCCAAATCACTGTAATGCTTTTGTAGGGTGATTAGAGGAGAAAGGGGGAAGGAGACAACTTTGCAAACATTTTTATATCTAATACGAAGACAAGATTGGTTGTCTTGTGCATCTGTCTGTCTTTGGTATACTTTGTAATGGTCCTTAATCTGTTGGAGGCTGACATTATCTTGGTCCTTTTGAGTATTTTTGTGGCTGGAAGACTGGAATTCTAAGGGGTTACATTTCATGATTACTTTGACTTCCATCTTTAAAAGCACAGCATATTGACCTTAAAGAACAATAAAGTCATACGATTGAAAAATACGATGCCCCAGGGCCATCTCATATACTGCATGTTTAAAAAATACTAACTATGTTTGAAGGACAATATAGAAGTAATTTGTACTTCTGTAAAACCAAAAACACGTTTAGGCTTAGAAAACAGACACAGCTGTATATACAGTTTCAAGAAACATCAAATTCTGAAACTGCTTCTTTTCTTTATTTTCTTGCTTGTCCAAACCCGAGTGTTAATCTCCTTTTATGCTATTTTTATTGGATTACCTATACAAAATGTTTTCATTTCAGTTTTATATCTGTATAAAATGAATCTGGATACATCAGGGCATGAAGTTGACTGAAGAAAACCCTGCTCCATAGAAACTTTTTTTTCTGCTGGGCAATGGGTATTGTTTTTCAATTATTCCAGAGGCTAATTTATTTGGAGCCCTTTTGTGCTGAAGTTCTATGTGATTTTAACTTGTTAATGCACAAAACTGAGTGTATTTTTAACAATTCTGACTCCTATGCCTGATACACTGGGTTAAGGAAAACTGACCTCAAGCAAGCAAATAAGCTATGTTTTCCTGAAATGTGCAAATAATATATATTTTTCTCTTGTGTTACCTATTACTGGCAGTAGTTTCTAAGGTATTGTGCACTGAAGTTTGGATGAATGAAGAAGGGGAGGGGAAAGAAAGCCTTAATATCTTTTTTTCTTGAGATCCTTGCTCTTCATTTCCGTTATCCTTTTAAATTAAAATGTCAGCATGTTGAAAAAATAGTTTCACTTGCTGACCTCTTTCGTGGTTCCACTGAAGCAGCTACAAAGATGTAGATAAAAACAGGATGAGGGAGAAAAATGTTGTTACTTGAGACTAAAATAGTCTTTGCTGGAAAATATAAACCTGCACTTTGGGCCTGATTCTCATTTACCTTAAGGCCATCTCAGGTGGTGTAAAAGCACATATATCTTTGCTGAATAGCTCACATTCCCTTTTGCACTGTGATTTAGGCTGTAAATTAAGTCTCCAGAAACACCTGAGGCCAAAAAAAATTATTTGTATTAAGGCAATATGTAAAAGTGAACTCCTTTGTGCTATCTACTACTCAACCACAGAATAAAACATTCCCTGCCCTAAGGGTCTTACTGTTTAATTTGGGAAGAATGTGAGTCATATTGAAGCATCCACCAACATATCAAAAGGGAGTTTCAGGTACTTTTGGCCCTGTTTAATGTTGGAGAAATGTCACTGGACTCAGACGAAAGCAATGCAATCAAGGAGGGACTAGATAGCTTTTAAGCAGCCTGAGGTGACTGCAAAAGGGAAAAGTGGAGGTGGATTCTGATTAAACCGTTTTCAAAATGCATTGTGAAAACGAGCTAGGGAGTTAGCCTCTGTAGGAAGTTTATTTCTGGAAATATTGGCTATAGCATATAACAAGAATCATTTAAAAAAAAAAGAGTGAAAAGAAACCGTAAGAAGAACAGATTTGATATTTTTGCTGTTAACTAGTGATAAAAGCTAACTGAAAGGAAGTTATGTGAAGTGCGAGACCCTGCCTCAGTTAAACACACAAACAGACCAAAACAGCACGATGCAAGTGGCAAAGGCAGTGAAAACTTGCCACAGTTATCCACCACGTTTTAATAGAGAACAGTAACACGTGGCCCGCTGGCACTGAATAAACAATGCGAAAAGTGTGACAAAGCTATGCCAGCAAAACCGGGTAACTAAGTTATCAGAAGTCAAAGAAATGCTGCTGAATAGATAGCAAACAACTTCAGTGTCTGTAAACACTTAACAGTCACTCTCCGCTATTCAGAAATGATTACATCAGGTGAGGACTGCAAGGCAAAGGTTGAAGCCTTGCAGTCCTGTAAGGGCTTGCCAACTGATCTGTTGATAAACTAAATTCAATTTATGAGGCTGGGAGTTTGAAAACATAATAGCCAGCTTTATGTGCTACAGGGAGGAGCTGGAGCTGGGGTTGGGCTAGCTCAGGTCAGGAAGTGAGAGTAGCATGTTTACACACTTCTGGGTGGCACTGACTCAGCTTCTGGAGTTTTGCTCCAGCCATGCAGACTTGGGAAGTGAGGAGGGGAGGTGGAGCCAGGTACTGTGCTCAGCAGGAAGAGATTTGAAGAATGGACGCAGAACCCAGGGAAAAATGGAGCATGCTGAGGCAACATACAGAGAGAGCTAGTTAAACGCCATGTAGCAAAACTAGCCTGGAGAGGGAAAACCATATTTGAGACTGCCTGAAATAGGTAGAAAACTTAGGGTCTGTGTGTAGCAGGAACATACTGAGTGTTACACCCGTTGTGGCTGTGTCATTTACAATTAATTGCAAGCTGCATAACTTTCATGTGCATTTTGTTCCGGCTATTAGTTTGCATATTGTGCTGCATTGTGACTCTGCTGACTGCCTGCAAATGTATTTAGATGCAAAGCTTTTTATGGTCCATTTCAAAACTTTGCGCTGCTGAAATTGTAATTGCTTTTTGGAGCCGGTTTGTACTAAATATGTTAACACTTCCTTGAGTTGTTGCCAGCTATAAGCGCCACGGCTACAACAAAGTTTCCTTATGTAGAATGTTATCTGTTTTATGTCTGCTTACCAGTTTGGCCATGTCTCTCTTGTTTCACTAATTTAGCTGGATCTTTTCTTGTGGCTGCACAATTTGGATTAAAATGACAGCGAATGGATTAGCCACTCTGCTAATATGTCAAGCACTTTGGGATTCTAGTCATAATAATAATAGTGTGTGCTGTACATTTCCATTCTCTAGTGTAATCCTCAGTTCCATATCACGAATAGGACACCCTGTATCATACCAAAGTCTCCTGGTTATATTACAAGCTCAAAGCCTGGGCCATGATTCATCCAAGGGTAGTCCCTCCCAAACCAGAGGTATTGGCTCCAGGGTAGAGGAGGCATTGCTTAAATCCCAAGTTCTGCAGGGCTGCCACAGGTGTAAAAGACCTTTGGCCTCTCCAGGTCTTCCTTACTTGTTTTCCAAGGCAATGGATTTTCCCACTAACAGGTATCCCTAAACTTCCTCAAGTGAGATGTCCTGGAAGGGTTTCCATTCACTTTTGAGAGTATCTATTATTATTTAATATTTGCCTGGTACAGTTAAAACATTGGTGCTAGGTATTTCCCAAACAGCACAAAGACTCTCCAGCCTCTGATTGTGGGGCCTGGTGTGCTACCACATTAAAAGTAGCAATACATAAAATATATGGAAATATACCCTAAGGAATACATCTAGGTAGTAGAGAAGCATGCTGTTCAAGCTTGTTCCTGCCTCTTCCAGACAAGTAGATCCTTATCCTTGCCTTTGTGGAGACAAGGATGGAGTTAGGAGGAAATGGGGAGATCTGCCCATGTAGTGTTCTTCTGTATGCCTAGCCTTAAAGTGTTATCACCAACACAGCAAGTCAAGTCCCTGTTGAATGGAACCTCACTTCCTCTGTCCTATGAAAAAAACGTATTATTCTACACCTTCACTAGACT